CTCGCTTTAAATATTTGAAAGGCTGTCATTTGGAGGAGGGCAAGGAGCTGTTCCAGTTGGCAGCAGAGGCCAGGACCCGAAGCAACGGGTTTGAATTACATGCAGAGAGGTATTGGCTGGATATTAGGAAAAACCTTTTCACGGTCAGAGTGGTTCAAAGGTGGAATCGGCTGCCTAGGGAGGTGGTTAGCTCCCCTTCACTGGCAGCTTTCAAGAAGAGGCCGGACGAATATTTGTCAGAGATGCTTTAGGCTGGTCCTGCATTGGGCAGGGGGTTGGACTAGACGGCCCATGGCCCCTTCCAGCTCTATGATTCTATGGGTTCAGCAAAAACTTCCAGTAGTCACATGAAGCGGCTTTATACTGAATCAAACCCTTGGTCCATTAAATTCAGTATTGTCCACTCAAACTGGCAGCTGTTCTCCAGGGTCTCAGGCGGTGCTATTTTTGGTCCCCCCCTCGGGTTCCCCAGGTGCCTCACAAGCCGCGGAGCGCCTGGGGAAGCCAAGCCAATCCAGGGAGGGAAGGCAGTTTTTAAACTGCCTTCCTTCCCTCAGGTTCCCCAGGCGCCCTGGTAAGCCATGGGGCACCTGGGGAAGCCGATCCTGGGAGGGAGCTATGCTGTCAGGGGTATGGCCTAATATGCTAATGAGTTTCTGCTGTTGGGTGTGACCTATTATGCTAATGAGTTCCTGGTGGGCTTTTTCTACAAAAAAAGCCCTGGTCTCAAACATTTTTCACATCACCCCCCTACCTGCTCCTTTTAACTGGAGATGCCAGGGATTGAACCTGGGACCTTCTGCATGCAAATACTCAACCACTGAGTCACAGCCCCTCTCCTACGAATCTGCCTTAATCTGAGTGACACCTTTGGTCCATCAAGGTCTGTATTGTTTACTCTGGCAGCTGCTCTCCACTGCATGCAAATACTCAACCACTGAGTCACAGCCCCTCTCCTACGAATCTGCCTTAATCTGAGTGACACCTTTGGTCCATCAAGGTCTGTATTGTTTACTCTGGCAGCTGCTCTCCAGGACCTCAGATAGACTTTTTCACATCACCAGCTACCACCAGGTCCTTTTAAATGGAGATACGAGGGATCAAATCACTGAGTGACAGCCCCAACCCTCTCCTCCTTCTCTTGTAAAAGGAGAGTAGTGATGCTTTGTATAAAATGTAGGTATCGTTACAAGTACACCAAGCTCCCCCATTGGCCTGCCCTGTAGTTTTCAGGGTCTCCAACCAAGAAACAGCATACCAAGAAAGAGCCAGTTTGGTGTAGTGGATAGGAGCGCAGACTCTAATCTGGGAGAACCAGGTTTGATTCCCCACTACTCCTGCAGCTGCTGGTGTGACCTTGGGCCAGTCACAAGTCCTCTCAGAGCTCTTCTCTCATGCACAGTTCTCAAAAGAGCTCTCTCAGCCCCACCTAGAAGAAGAGAGAAGAGATTGGATTTATACCCCGCCCTTCAATACCCGAAGGCGTCTCAGCGCGGTTCACAAACTCCTTTCCCTTCCCCTACCCACAACAGGCACCCTGTGAGGTAGGTGGGGCTGAGAGAGCTCTGAGGAAACTGCTCTTTCAAGGACAGCTCTTATCAGAACCAGGGCTTGCCCAAGGTCACACCAGCAGCTGCAAGTGGAGGAGTGGGGAATCAAACCCGGTTCTCCCAGATTAGAGTCTGTACACTTAACCACTACACTCAACTGGCTCTCACACCAAACTGACTCTGTTGTGAGAAGGGAAGGGAGAGGAGATGGTAAGCCACTCTGAAACTCCTTTGGGTAGTGAAGGGCAGGCTATAAATCCAATATCTTCTTCTTTTTCTTCTTCTTGCCACAGCCCATTCTCTGGAAAGGTCAAAGCTTCCTTATCAGTTCATTGGTTCATCTGGCAAAGACTCTCAAAGATCTCAGGGAAAGGAAGGTCTTTCCTAGCACCTCCTGCCTGAGATTCTTCATCTGGAGACAGAAAGGGGTAGGGGACCCATCTGCATGCAAAGCAGAAGCTGAGATTTAGCTAATGAAAGACAGACAGACTACAATCAAGCTCTGCATTCCTACATAATTGCCTAGCAGCCTCAACAGCCCAGCCTAACACTATCTCATCAGAGCTTGGAAGCTGAGCAAGGTTTGTTTCACTTGGATGGGAGGCCACCAAGAAAGTCTAGGCAGGGGTCATTTCGTAGAAAAAGAGGTGCAGGAGCTCATTAGCATAACTTATTTGCATATGCCACACACCCTGACATCACCGGAAGTGTGTCAGAAGGCAACACCCACCGCTCAGGCTCCACTGG